GGGACAGACAGATGGGGCAGAAGGACAGACGGACACAGGAATGGAGAGAGGGACGGAGGGACAGACAGATGGGGCAGAAGGACAGACGGACACAGGAATGGAGAGAGGGACGGGAGGACAGACAGATGGGGCAGAAGGACAGACGGACACAGGAATGGAGAGAGGGACGGGGGGACAGACAGATAGGACAGACGGACACAGGAATGGAGAGAGGGACGGGGGGACTGACAGATGGGGCAGAAGGACAGACGGCAGAAGGACAGACGGACACAGGAATGGAGAGAGGGATGGGGGGACAGACAGATGGAGCAGAAGGACAGACGGACACAGGAATGGAGAGAGGGATGGGGGGACAGACAGATGGAGCAGAAGGACAGACGGACACAGGAATGGAGAGAGGGATGGGGGGACAGACAGATGGAGCAGAAGGACAGACGGACACAGGAATGGAGAGAGGGATGGGGGGACAGACAGATGGAGCAGAAGGACAGACAGACACAGGAATGGAGAGAGGGACAGGGGGACAGACAGATGGGGCAGAAGGGCAGATGGACACAGGAATGGAGAGGGGGACAGACATTGTTCAGAAGGACAGATGGACACAGGAATGGAGAGAGGGACCGGGGGGACAGACATTGTTCGGAAGGACAGTCGGACACAGGAATGGAGAGAGGGACAGGGGGACAGACAGATGGGGCAGAAGGGCAGATGGACACAGGAATGGAGAGGGGGACAGACATTGTTCAGAAGGACAGATGGACACAGGAATGGAGAGGGGGACAGACATTGTTCAGAAGGACAGATGGACACAGGAATGGAGAGGGGGACAGACATTGTTCAGAAGGACAGATGGACACAGGAATGGAGAGGGGGACAGACATTGTTCAGAAGGACAGATGGACACAGGAATGGAGAGGGGGACAGACATTGTTCAGAAGGACAGATGGACACAGGAATGGAGAGGGGGACAGACATTGTTCAGAAGGACAGATGGACACAGGAATGGAGAGGGGGACAGACATTGTTCAGAAGGACAGATGGACACAGGAATGGAGAGGGGGACAGACATTGTTCAGAAGGACAGATGGACACAGGAATGGAGAGGGGGACAGACATTGTTCAGAAGGACAGATGGACACAGGAATGGAGAGGGGGACAGACATTGTTCAGAAGGACAGATGGACACAGGAATGGAGAGAGGGACCGGGGGACAGGCAGACAGAAGGACAGGTGGACACGGGGTGGAGAAGCAAACAGGCAGAGGGCCGGATGGACAGGCAGGGGGACAGGCAGACAGGTGCAGCTAATGTGAGTGTTTTTGTGTGGCTGGAAGGAGGAGGAGGGTACCAAGTCCTACACAGTGATCTGCTGATAAGCGTGGTGGGTTCTGTGTCTCACCCTGCCAGTTGCCCTGGCTTCGTGTCCAGTCTGCCAAGGAAGGCCTGGGACGGCCTTTCGGTCGCCGTGTCAGCCTTGGACTGAAATTCTCCGCACAGCGGCTTGGTGTGAGTGAGAACGTGTGTGCAAGCCAGGCGGTGAAAAGACACCAGAAACTGAGAGCTGAGCGGAGACCATCCACTGAGCGGAACAGAGGAGCCTGGAGACAACAGACCGACTGGCCCAAAGGCAGACCATAAACAAGAGCTGAGGAGCCCTGCCCCTAAACGCGGAAGGATAACTGGGGAGAAAACCCCACGGTTAGGACACAGGGATTGCCTTTTCCCCTGAGAAAGCTCCC